ATGTCGAATTTTATTCTTTTAGACAATCTGAAGTTTCATAATTTTTTTGACCATCATTCTCATGGTCTTGGTCGAAATCACCATTATCATCTTGGACCATATGGGCTTCAGGGTTCTTGCATTTAGATTCTCTTGATAGAGATCACATAACTGTTTAGGAGTTCTGCATGTCTTAGCCCAATGATTCCCCATTCCACATCTGTGGCAAAGTGATTTGGTCGAGTGATTGGTCGAATAAGATGGCTTAGATATGCCACCTCGACCACGGCTGTAACCGCCTCGTCCACGGCCATAGCTGGGACCCAACCACGGTTATTGTGGTTTCCTTTGTACACGGCCGTACGAGCCATATGAACCTCGACCACCACGTTTTTTCCATCCACCACGGCCTCGACCGTGTGGTCTATTATCATAGACGTGGTTGCTTTCTTTTCTTTTCTTCTACAGCCTTATTGGCTTCTGGTAATGGGGTTGATCCAGGAGGTCTACTCTCATTATTCCTCATCAATAACTCATTATTAGTCTCGGCCAAAAATAGGCACGAGATCAGATCAGTGTATGTGGTGAAGCCTCTTTCTCTGTATTTCTACTGTAGCAACAAATTACTAGAATGGAATGTGGAGAATGTCTTTTCTAGTCAATCTTTCTCGGTCACTTCTTCACCACATAGTCTCATCTTTGAGAAAATCTTAAACAAGACTGAATTATATTCATCCACGGACTTATAGTCCTGGAATCTGAGATTTCTCGACTCATATCTAGCCTTTGGTAATAGCACCGTTTTCTGGTGATCATATCTCCGCTGTAAGGCGGTCCAAAGGTCTAGAGGATTTTCCATTGTAAGATACTGATCTTTGAGACCTTATGTACGATGGTGACGAATGATACTTAATGCCTGGTATATGTGTTTATCATTCTTTTTATTGTTCTCGATGATAGTCAGACCGAGACCCTTTGACCTTAGGCAAATCTTAGTATCCAATGCCTACTGTAAATAATTCTCTCTAGAGAGATTAAGGGCAGCATAATCCAGATTGCATATTTTCGACATCTGAATCAATATCAATCATATTTAGGGTTTCATAATGCATATATCAGTCGATACAATTGGATATCAATGGATTATCAAACAGTATAATTGGATTTTATGAATCTCGACCTAAAACAGTTCTAATATGACCATGATGCCATTTATCCGGATTCAAACAATTTAAGCAAGAAAAGAACTTTAGGAATTAATGACCAAATTCGGATTCTATTTTGTTTAGGGTTTACTAATCAATGCAAGCAATCAAACCATAACAATCCCGATTAGGGTCTTAGGGTTAAACAAAATCAGGGTTTACAATCTTAGCAATATGTGCATAGGATTTCTAGAGTTTCCAGATTAGGGTTTTAGATTCTTAACAATTAGACATTCTTAGCTAATGATTTCTTAAAAACTTCAAAACAATTCATAAATCTAGCAATCAGATTTAGAGCAATAGATGATTTAGGGTTTTCAAGGCCCTTTTAGGGTTTCGGATTTTGAAATTAGGTTAAACATAAAATCTATCAACCTAGACCTCAAATCATGATGACATTGAATTAATCAACAATCAACAATCAATAATCAAAATCAGATTTATGAATTAGGGTTTTTAAACAATCCTAAGCACCCGGGTTCTAAGTTTTATATATAAATCTCAAACAATCAATCAAACAATCAATCAAAAATTATTGATTCAAACTATCAACCTAAATAAACCATTCAACCTAGCAATTATATTCGCAGATTTAGGGTTTCTTATTTAGGGTTTTAATTCTCTAGGTTTTAGAGAGAATTAGTCAGATTACCTTTAGATTGATGTGTAGAACCGGACCACCAAGAGAGATGAGGAGAACCGCGGTTGTGCTTGAATCGGAACTAGCCAGATCGTGGTCGGGATTGGTCGGGTTCTAGAGGAGATCATCAAATAACTTGGTCGGGTTTGAATCTGATCGTGGATTAGGGTTCCACCGAAGAACAAGTCAGCTGGTCGGATCGCGATCTAGGTTTCTCGCCGTGAAAAGGAAAGTCGGCTAGGGTATTCGGCCGAGAAAAGGAAAATCAAAGGCGGCTGGTCGATGAGCTAGGGCTTTCGCCGAAAAAAAAGAAAGAGCCGGTGGCTGTGCTGGGGTTTCTTTGTCGGATTTAGCTAGTGTTTTGAGAGACAATTCGTGCTAATAACATGTTGTAAATCAGAGAGAATTGTAGAGGGAAATTGCTTGTGTATTATTAATGATCATAAGGGTTCTTTTATATAAGGATTACAAGATAAAGATAAATGGAAAGTATCCAAATCCTAATACAAAAGTATTAGGAAAACTAGTAATACAAGGAAAAGGTACAGCCGCCTATATCTATGTATGGCCGATTGGGCCTTGTCTAAGCTATGGTTATGGCCCATCCACTATAAGGATTATAACACTATTACAAATTTTACAACTATCGTTATGTCATCACACACCCTATATTTTCTCATGTGGGGTAAGTTACCTAAGTTTCTAATAGTAATTTTTCTCATCCCTTTACTACAGTTCATTGCTATCTTCTATTGTTATAGGTAGTTTGTTAATTATCATGTTTTTAATGGATTATGGCCAAATTCATTCAAAAATACTCTTAACTCCTGCACATAACTTTGAAAGATATAAAACATCCATGTTACTATAGGGACTTCTAAACTTCTTCATGATGCTCCTCCCTTGCAGATAAAAAAATTCATGTTACTATAAGACCTCTAAACAACGCTGATCCAGAATAAGTTTATGCCGAAAGCATAAGTAAATTTTAAGCCCACTTAAAAAATAGGTTTAAAGAATCATCAAAAAAAGGAAGTAGAAAGTTTGAACTGATGACCTTTAGCCTCATACTTACACAACACCTACTCCAACAGTAATTATGGAAAATTTTATGTTCTTAACTACTTATATTCAGTGGTGTAAAGCACAAGCTTTGCTTGCTTTTAAGGCAGGACCGACTCTAAACTCCTCTTTCAGGATGCTCTCCGCTCTCAGTAAGTCTTTGGTGGTCTCCTAATGAGAAATGAGGTCTTCGCGCCGACATTTATGTGAGATATTAAACAAAGTCTCATATTGGAAGTTTAGACAAAGAGTGTCTAATATATAAAGAGAAGTCCAACTCTAATTAGTACGAAATATTTTGAGAAGAAAACCAAAAGTAAATCCATGCGGACTTGTCTATTAAGCCTAAAGTGGACAATATCGTACTAATCAGATCATAAAGAGTTGGACATGGGTTCTTACAAACCTCAACAATTGGTATCAGAGCAGTTTGACGAGAGGTCTGTAAGAAGACTAAAGTAGCTTCAAGTAGGAATGGTACCTTTCGAGTTAGGAATGAGAGTGATCTGTGGCAGAAACTAATCAGAAGATCATGGAACCTATGATACTGTGGGAGAAAAATTTCAAAGGAACCCCTGCGATTACTGGTACAAAGGGGAGCCAGATGATTCGCTAAAGGAAAACACACAAGATGAATGTGATCCTTAATTTGAAGAGGAGAATGTGATATATCAAACAAAGTCCTAAAGTTTAGACAAGGAGTGTATAATATATAAAGTGAAATCCAACTATAACTAGTACGAAGCCTTTTGGGAAGAAAACCAAAGATAAATCTATTCAGACTTGTTTGTTAAGCACAAAATAGACATTATTATACTAATAGGATCATAAAGAATTGGACATGGATTCTCACAAACTCAACAGCTTATCCCTAAAACATGCTTGCTCTGTATAGAGTTCCATGTGCAGCATGGTGATTCCTAAAGTGCCAGACGCATAGAGGAATGCCATTAACTTTTGATTTTCAATCCGATCATGTCTAATTTTTGAACTTTCTCCGCAAAAGGCTTCTAGAATTCATCAACCGTAGTAATAAATAGCATGCTCGTGAAAGGTATGATACATTCTGGATCTGCATTCATATTGCTAAGACATACGCCTCAAAATCAAGTAATGAATAAAATGTAGAGGCATAATTTTTCTAGCCCTATTTTACCTAATAGTCTACACACACAAAAAAATAATATCACTTTCACTTAGATTTTTATACTATTATAATAGTTTCATCGCTCATGGAAAAAGCAGATACGAATAGTAATTGTATTGAGACTTATGGGCTTAGAAGTGGGGATTTTAATCTAACCAAAAAGAAAATCAAAGAATCCATTATTAGCATTAATTAAAAAAAAAGGAAGAATCCATTATTTAGTCAAACACCCAAAGCCAAACACATACATCTTGATCCCAAAGCGTATTCGTCACCCCTTACTTCATCAAAGTCAATTACTTGTATACTTTTCCAAAACGAATTCTCTAGACCCTTTTCCAAATTCAACATCCACTCTTTATTAAACCGGTAAGAGCACTAATCAAATTCTTGTTCATAATCACCAAACCCTTAAACCACTCTTTTGCTCTCTCCATAAACACTAAACTAAAGATTAATTAAGACATACCCAATATATGGGAACACTTGTGGGACATGTCGCACCAGGTTTTGCCTTCTTTGCACTTGGTCTTTGGCACTTATACAACAACATAAAACTATTTTGTCTACACCCATCCACCTTTACTTCATCACCATGGTTCCCAACTTCTAAGTCCAGGCACCTAGAGCTATACTTAATCATGGTCTGTTCTTCAGCCTCCATAGCGATGGAACTCTTTATTGGGCCCAAGAAACATCAACCCTTTGACTCTGATGGCACCATACCTTCAAACCACCTACACAACTTTGAACACTCCTCTATCTCAATGTCATTCTTAGTCTACGCTATATATGCAGTAGTTCTTGATCAACCAAGGCCTAGAGCTTTCTCTCAAGGACTGACCATACTCGCTGCAGCCTCTGCCTTTGCTCNCTCTTTATTGGGCCCAAGAAACATCAACCCTTTGACTCTGATGGCACCATACCTTCAAACCACCTACACAACTTTGAACACTCCTCTATCTCAATGTCATTCTTAGTCTACGCTATATATGCAGTAGTTCTTGATCAACCAAGGCCTAGAGCTTTCTCTCAAGGACTGACCATACTCGCTGCAGCCTCTGCCTTTGCTCAACAACTCTTCCTCTTCCATCATCACTCTGCTGACCACATGGGCATCGAAGGACAATACCATAAGCTCCTCCAGCTTGTCATCTTTGTTTCTCTCCTTACCACTCTAATGGGTATTGCCTTGCCTAAAAGTTTCTTGGTAAGTTTTGTGAGATCATCAAGCATAGCTTTCCAAGGAGTGTGGTTTATTTTGATGGGCTACATGCTTTGGACACCTAGCTTAATTCCCAAGGGATGTAGTCTTCATGAAGAAGAAGGCCACCAGGTGGTTAGATGTTCAAGCGACTTAGCTCTAGACCGGGCCAAGTCGCTGGTCAACATCGAGTTTAGCTGGTGTCTTGTTGGAATTACAATATTTGTCATGTCATTGTACTTAATTCTTGACGGAGTTTATGGTGAAAATATTGAATATTTAGGTCTAACCACTAAAGACCAAGCTGAAGAAGATGGTGAATAACAAGAAGACATCGAGTCGTTGAAGATGAGTAATCCAGTTGTTGTCCAGATGGGTAAAATCTTTGGAGATCGAGACTTGGAAAGGTGATAAAATCTAGGCTTTCTTTTTCTTTTTTACTTCCAACTTGTAGAAAATATATAATCGATTAAAAGGATAAAGTGTGTCACTGTATAATTCACACTTATTATGTTGAAAACGTGCGCCAACTTGTTTATACATATATANTGAGTAATCCAGTTGTTGTCCAGATGGGTAAAATCTTTGGAGATCGAGACTTGGAAAGGTGATAAAATCTAGGCTTTCTTTTTCTTTTTTACTTCCAACTTGTAGAAAATATATAATCGATTAAAAGGATAAAGTGTGTCACTGTATAATTCACACTTATTATGTTGAAAACGTGCGCCAACTTGTTTATACATATATATTAATAATAATACATCACTATAATTCAAAATATTTTTCTTACAATTTCAGAAAATAGGAATCTTCTTATGAGGACAATCATTGATGATGTTTCGTAAATATATTGAAAACTATTCGTAACAAGAACAACACTAGTTCCAAGAAAAATACGGGTAACAATTAGGCCTAGACAAATTAATCCGAATAAAAATAAAATAAAAATTTACCGAACTACAAAACACAATAATTTGAACGGTTCCCATCTTAAAAGTCCGAACTGATAAGTGAATGGATACTTTGGATATCCGAAATATAATATATATTTTAAAATATTACTTATTTTTAGATTTAAAATAACCTAATATTTAAATCTACACTATTATTTAAGAAGTAAATTTGCTTAGTTGTCAACTTCTCCATGATTTTAGGTTTTTGTTTATTTGTAAGTTTTATAATTTTATAAATAACTTATTATAAAATTAAAACGAATTTATATGAACATTATTATATGAACATTATTATATATTTTAGCCAAATAAGATAATTATTACATATTTGTAATTATCTTGAAAATATATTTTAAGTAATGTTTTTATTTGCCATGTTATAATAATTCTATAAAAATTTATTATATAATTGAAACGAATTTATATTATAATATATATTTTTAAGATAACAACATAAATATAAGAAGTAAATTTGCTTACTTGTCAATTTCTCCATGAGTTTAGGGTTTTGTTTATTTGTAAGTTTTTATATTTTATAAATAATTTATTATAAAATTAAAACGAATGTATATTAACATTATTATATATTTTAGCCAAATAAGTTAATTATTACATATTTGTAATTATCTTGAAAATATATTTTAAGTAATGTTTTTATTTTTCATGTTATAATAATTCTATCAATATTTATTCTATAATTAAAACGAATTTCTATTAATAATATTATATTTTTAGAAAATAAGATAATTCTTATTATTTATGTTTTTATCCTAAAAATATATTTTATAATATAAATTCTAAAATTAAGATATAATAAGTTATAATTAGATATAAATCAAGCAAACATATTTGTATAAAAATGTTTTTGATATCTGAGTGTAATAAAAAAAAATTATTTGTCAACTTCTCCATGGTTTTAGATAATTTTATTTATTTTAATGTTTTTAATAATTTTATATACCATTTATTACATAATTAAAATGATATTATACTTATAATATTATATTTGAGAAAATAAGATAGTTCTTATGTATTATGTTGTTACTTTGCAAATATATTTTCTATTATAAAATTTAAGTATACTATTATTTGAAAATAATGCTTATTTATCATTTTCTCCATAATTTTAGATAATTTTGCTTATTTATCATATTTTAATAATTTAATATATAATTTATTTATAATTACAATTAACTTATATTAATAATATTATAAATTTAGTAAATAAGATAATAATAAAAAATAATTTATAACAATAATATTATATTTTTACAAAATAAGTTAATTCTATGTATTAAATTGTTATCTTAAAATATATTTTTCTATCATAACATTTAAATAAATTTTCTGATTGGTTTGTAACTTCTCAAAATAAATTTGTTTATTTGTCAATTTTTCCATAATTTTAAATAATTTTTTTATTTATCATGTTTTAATAATTTTATATATAATTTGCTATACAACACAAAATGAACTTATATTAATGATGTTATGTTTTTAGAAAATAAGTTAGTTCTTATGTATTAGACTGTTATCTTAAAAATATTTTTTTCTATTATACAATTTAAGTGAATTTGATGATTGATTTGTATATTCTCAATGATTTAGATATTTTTGTTTATTTGCCATGTTTTAAATAAATTCATATATAATTTATTATATAATAAAACGAATTTATATTAATAATATTATATTTTTTTAAAAATAAGATAATTTTTACATATTATATTGTTATCTTGAATATAATTTTCTATTATAGAAATTAAAAATTAATAAAAAAAATTATAATTAAATATAAATTAAGCAATGCTGATTTGTCAACTTCTCCATGATTTTAGGTATGATTTCTTATTTATCATCTTTTAACAATTTTATATATAATTTATTATATAGTAAAAACGATATTATATTTATAGAAAATAAGAAAATCCTTATGTATTAGATTGTTTTCCTAAAAATATAGTTTTTATTATAAAATTTAAGTGAATTTGCTGATATATAACTTCTCTATGATTTAAGTAATTTTGCTTATTTGTCATATAATTAATAATTTCATATATAATAAAAGAAAATTGCTATTAATAATAGAGTCAATTGGCTGAATATACTAAAAGAACTTAGATATTAGGGATTTACCTTATACAGCAAAACTTTGGAGGAAAAAGTGAGGATGGAGTTAGCAAAATAAGAGAAAAAAGTACAGCCAACAGTGTATTTAGGTAGATAACTAAATATGTCAAATTGTATAGGTAGAGAGTGCGAATTCTCTTAATTATATTATCTTTTTGGAAAATAAGATACTCCCTCCGTTTCAAATTATCTGATGTTTAGATTTTAAGGTTTGTTTTGAGGTTTTAAGGTTTGTTTCAAAATATAAGATGTTTTGAGATTTTAAGGTTAACTTTAACTTTATTGGAAACTGTTCAACCAATAAAATTTTACAGTCTTTTAATAGTTAGTTGAATGATTATAAATTATATCTTTAAATGTATGTAAATTTCTTAATTTGTGTGCATTAACCTAAAACATCATTTATTAAAAAAACAGATGGAGTACTTCTGATGTATTATATTATTATCTTGAAAATATTTATCCATTATAGAAACAAAAAGTTAAGATATAAAAAAATTATAATTAATATAAATCAAGCAAAACATTTGTATGAATATATTTTTAAAATTCTGCTGTGTAAAGGTTGTCATTTCTAATTAGTTTTTAAAACATAAATCATCACTTATTAAAAATTTTTAAATCAATAAAATATAAATTAATAAGTATTCGTATAAAAGTTATGTCCGCATGTGCGGGCAAAACACCTAGTTCTATTTTAAATCCAAAGACATTTAGTTATATTTAAACTAGGTACTGAAATATTCAAATCTCATTAGTACTTCCAAATTAAACAATATATTAAAACTTTAACATTTTATTTAAAATTTTTGGGTATTTCAGGAAATTTTTGAATAATTTAGAACTTTTTACTTGGACAATTCGGATAGTTTGATTATTTTTGGGTAGTATGCGTACAAAAATAACTAGAACTAAACTGGACTCGATAAATTTGCAGGTGTTTACTGGTTACTGACATAATTACCATACCAAATTGAATGATAACCAAACCGATCCAAACCAATTTTGATCTTCACTACTACACTGCCGTCAAGCTCTCAACTATTCTCCTTCTGTGGGCCTTAGTGTAAAACCCGATCCAACTCTGATGGGCCTGTGAAAATTGCTGAGCCCGTTAAGCTGATTAAATGAGTACGACATCGTATTGTCAGTTACGAGAATATATACTTCGTCGTCTTCCTCTCGAGAGCAGTGTTGAGAGTAACAAAGTCTTCTGATCATCTTCTCCGGTGAATTCTCTGGTAAGTGCTGAGTTGCAGAGGTGCTTTTCAGTGTCTCCGTGTGTGAGAGTTATTCGCCGTGATCCGATCGTGTTCCTGAAAGATCAAGAATCGAAGTTAGTGTTTGATAGATTCTTGAACGAGCTTGTATTGTATTATGTGATATAAGCTTAGTGGATTGGGAGCAAGAGTCTCCCCCCAGATGTAGCGTAAGCGAACTGGGTAAACAAACTCTCATTGCATTTTTTTCTTTTTCAATTGCTTAAACAACAATCAACAAATCGAATCGTTGGAAAGTGTTATCGAGATCAAAACGTAACAATTGGTATCAGAACTACAGGTTTAATCAGATACTCGTGATACTTTCTGGATCTAAGGTTCTCAACAAGTCAAGAAGCCAGATCTACGAAAGGAAGAATCAGCGTAAGGTTCGAAACTTATCTGTTTCTCTGTGGTGTAGAAGTTGTTGCTTGAGTCTTGAAGCGTGTGAGTCTGTATCTTGTTTGGATCTGATCAATCTGAAATAAGAGTATGGAACCTACAAAAGGTCGTTTCGAGGTTGAGAAGTTTGACGGATCTGGAGATTTTGGTATTTGGAAGCACAAGATGTATTGTGCTCTTGAGATTCTAGGTCTGGATTCTGTTCTTGAGGAAGTAATAGAAACAGATAGCAATGGTGAGAAGGCTGAGGAAGGTACTGAGGTCAAAGCTGATCCTAAACATGCTTTGAAGGATAAGCGGTTCGTAGTTTGATACAAATGAGTCTGAGTGACCAGATCATAAGGAAGGTGATGAAGGAGACCTCAGCACTTGGGATTTGGAAGGCGTTAGAAAGGGATTATCAAACTAAATCTCTTCCTAACCGGATCTATCTTAAGCAAAGGTTTGCTAGCTATAAGATGGATGAGCAGAAGACTATTGAGCAAAACCTTGATGTTTTCTTGAAGCTAGTAAATGATCTTGAGAGCTTAGAGATTAAAATTTCTGATGAAGACCAGGCTATACAGATTCTGACCGGTCT